GTCGACTGTCAATTCGCTTCGACATGTTAATTAGTCGACTCGCGGCCGCCGCACAAATACGAATTTAAAGTTATCAATAAAGTTTAATTGCACGCACCGGTTTGGCGGATTTTGCTACATGGTTGGTGCATTTGTTGAGGTTTTTCCTGCTTGCAAGCGGAAAGTTTTCGTTACTGCGTCAATGGAAGAGCAGCGATAATTGCAACAAATTGTTAGGTTAATGCATATCTTGTTTTGGTTTTTATTTTGCATATTTTAAGCGCGGTAATTTGTTAATTCACATCTTTTGACATTTTTTCTGACGTAAAATGAATTTAAAATTGATTTTTAATGTTTTTATATTTTAAACAGAAAAAAATTGGTTTTATAAAGATTTAAGAGTCTTGGCATCTTTTTATTAAGTTGATTTATTGATTGAAGGAATAATTAATTATTAATTCAGTAATTTTACAAGGTTTTTCTTGATTAAAATGAATATTTTATGAATTTTTCAAATTTTTTTCTTTTTTTCTTTAAAACGTTATTTTTTTCGGTTTTGAGACACAAAAAGTGGTATTTTAAACATGGAGGGTCAAGTTCGTGACTAAAGTACGTTAGTCACGGGTTTTAGTCACGGGGTGAAGCTTACGCCTGTTTATTTGCCTTTTGTGCGGCATAAAACCATATAAATCTCTATTTTATAAACAAATAAATTAATTTTGTATGTTTGTGACGTTTTAACGCGAGAACCACTCGACCGATTTTATTATATTTTGTTATAAATCTATTTTAGTTCATGGAAAAGCAAATAGACTACTTTTGATCGCAAAATTTTAATTTAAAAAGCATAAAACAAGAGTTAAAAGTTTGTATTCGTTATAAATCATAATTATAGTTGCATAATTCAAACCTAGATGGCGTAAAAATACAAAATTGCATTTCTCACTTTTTTTAAATAAAAATTAAAAATTTTATGAAACAAAACGCAAGAAACTAATTAATTTCTACTACTTAATCCCTCCATCAATGTAAACAAATTAAAACTTTACATTATAACTGTCTCTGTGTCTGGGTCCCAAGACGATGAATCTTGCGACAATAATAATACACTAATAACGATCATTAAATCAAGACGCTGACGCTCCTCACTCATAGAGAGGTTGTCATCGCCGATGCTAATTAAACCTCTCCGCGGCGGACGACAACACAAATAAATAAGCTCGTGCCGTGCGTTGGGACGTCCGGTATTGCGGTTTGCATTTCGCCAAGAATAGACGCGATCCAACACCGCTAACGCGTAACGAGACTTTGCATGCGAACAATCTCTGCGCATCACCGCATTCTCGGCTCGGGCCAAAGTGAACATGTCATTGCACGAGCGGATGAAAGAACCTGAATAAAAATGCAATTTCAATACGTCGCGCTATATCAATGTACAGGCAATGCATAGTAATTTAGTTACTTTAATTTAGAGAAATAAAAAATATAAAAAATGTATTTTTAGTTGGTTAATTTATGTTTTGTTAGTTTGAATGCTTATAACTCGAGAACGGTTGGATGGATTTTTATGATTTATAGTTCATTGGATTTGTCTTGGTCCTGAATAGGAGAATATGTGCTAAAATATTAGAAATTATTATTTCAAGGGTGTTAAATAAGTGTTGAAATTTTATATGGGGATTTATTCATGTTATAGTTAATAAATTCGACTGTAGATGGCGCTATAGTGTTTTATATGCAATTTCAACACGTCGCGCTGTATCAATGTACAGGCAATGCATAGTAATTTAGTTACTTTAATTTAGAGAAATAAAAAATAGAAATAATACAATTTTAGTTGGTTAATTTATGTTTTGTTAGTTTGAATGCTTATAACTCGAGAACGGATGGATGGATTTTGATGATTTATGTTTTTTTGGATTTGTCTTGGTCCTAAATAGTAGAATATGTGTTAAAATATTTGAAATTTTTATTTAAAGGGTGTTAAATTAGAGTTGAAAGTTTATATGGGGATTTATTCATGTTATAGTTGAATAATTTGACTGTAGATGGCGCTAAAGTGTATAATAAGCATTTATCATGTCTTTTAAATAAAATTACGAATTTTATTGATGTTTTCAGTTCATAATTTGTCCAGGAAAGTAAAAATAACATTTTTTTACTAAAAAATCAACGAGGACGAAGTCTAGTTGTAAATATCACAAAGCAAAAATGACATCAACACAATAAACACAAATAAATTTGTTGTATAAAGTTGTTTGTGATATCGCGAATGCATTAATTATTTATTTAAATGTGCGCATTGTGTGTGGATAAACAGACACAATTTATAGCAAGCCAGACAAGGCGGATTAAATATTTCGATTCAAGGTTGTGATCGGCGATTAGGTTTCTAAATAATTGCCATTTGCCAACGTTGTGCGGTTTCCTCGCCGGTGCAGTCGCATGCTTGTTGATGTTCAATTTGTTTTCCAATAAACGCAAACGTAAACGTGAAATCAAACAAAAGTGAGCAAAAGTGCGTGTTTATATTTGTACTGCGTTAGATTTATTTATACGTGTATTGTTGGCTATTGGCTTGTATTATTGAGTTGAGTTGAAAGTTAGTGGTTGAAAGTTTGATAAGCGGAAAATATTGAATTCTTAATTTAAAATTATTAATTCTGTAATTTTACAAGGTTTTTCTTAATTAAAATGAATATTTTATGAATTTTTAAAATTTTTATACTTTTTTTTTCTTTAAAACGTTGTTTTTCTACGGTTTTGAGACACAAAAAGTGGTATTTTAAATATGGACGGCCAAGGTCGTGACTAAAGTACTTTAGTCACGGGTTTTAGTCACTGGGTGGAGCTTGCGCCTGCTTATTTGCCTTTGATTCAGCATAAAACCATATAAATCTCTATTTTATAAACAAATAAATTAATTTTGTATGTTTGTGACGTTTTAACGCGAGTACCACTCGACCGATTTTATTATATTTTGTTATAAATCTATTTTAGTTCAGGAAAAAGCAAATAGACTACTTTTGATCGCAAAATTTTAATTTAAAAAGCATAAAATAAGAGTTAAAAGTTTGTATTAGTTATAAATCATAATTATAGTTGCATAATTCAAACCTAGATGGCGCAAAAATACAAAATTCGCATTTCTCACTTTTTTTAAATAAAAATTCAATATTTTATGAAACAAAGACCAAGAAACTAATTAATTTCTACTACTCAATCCCTCCATCAATGTAAACAAGTCAAAACTTTACATTTTAACTGTCTCTGTGCTTGTTGATGTTTAATTTGTTTTCCAATAAACGTAAACGTGAAATCAAACAAAAGTGAGCAAAAGTGCGTGTTTATACGATACTTGTACTGCGTTAGATTTATTTATACGTGTATTGTTGGCTATTGGCTTGTATTATTGAGTTGAGTTGAAAGTTAGTGGTTGAAAGTTTGCTAACCGGGAAAATATTGATTGCTTAATTTAAAATTTATTAAAATTTTTGTAATTGAATGAAGCCATTTATTATTTAATTGATAGAATATTTATTAGGTGAAGTAGTAAACGAGTTTTGTGAGCAAAACCACAATCTGTTGCGTTTTTAATTATTTCATGATAAATATGCATATGAATGTGTGTATGTGAACTGGAAGTTATAATTTTTGTAAAAATGAAATCATAATTCAATGTAAATTCTATTAAACAAGTTAAAAATAACTTTAATGGTTGTAATGGAGATAAAACAATCATTTTTGTTTCTTTTTTTCTTTAAAACTAAAGTAAATGGTTGAAACTAATTCATGGATGATTAAATCATTAATTATTAAAGAAAAACTTGAAATTATACGCGTTTTTAAACGTTTTTCTTAAAATTTTAATTTAAATTCGTCATAACTTTTGTATAAATACAGATAAAACAGTTATTTTGGTTTATAATTTCAGATCTTATCAAAATCTGTTCAGGAAGTATCTTAAAAACTTTTCTGGCTTCGTTAATTCCTTTTTATTTACTTAAAACTATCGAAAAACAGTAAAAAATTAATTTTCTTTAAAAATCAAGTTAAAAGCAGTATAATTTTAACAATAATAATTATAAAGTACTAAATATAGTCCCAATATATAGATATTATCAAGAATTTATTAGTTAATAACTGAAAAGACTTGATAATGCTTTGAATTTTCAGTAATTTAAAGAAAACTGTAAAAAATCATGAAAATAACTTTGTTTCTTTGTATTGCAGGTTAAAAACACTACAACTTTGTTGATAATAAAAATAAAACAAATATTTTGCTGTCTACTTATTAATATTAATTATGTCTTTATATTGTAATACTTAAAATATTTGCAAACGCCATTAATAACTCTCTAAGTAAAGAAAACTAAAAAATTAAAAAAAAAAAAAAAAAACATAAAAATTGATGCATCACAGACAAGTTTCCATGCATTTTATATTAGAAATCATTATAATTATTAACTTTTTAGATAATATTACAACTTTGCTTCAAAATTAGTATTTTATCAAATATTAACAGCAAAATAAATATTTTTTTCCCAAAAATATTGATAAATCATTAAATCTTTGAGTATTTCAAGAAAATCTTTCTAAAAATGACAAAAATATACCATTTATCCTATGTTTTCCTTAAAATTCAGACATAAACTAGTCCTAGCATTGTATAAACGATGTTTTTGTTTAGTAATTTGCGTTTCAACTCTACCCAATTTACGACAAAAAGTAAATATTGACTTGCGACGTAATGAGGCGATAAAAAAGTATACCTCATCAAAAAAACGCCAAACAAAAATCACATCTCACACATTTTAAACTCATTTTTATCATCAGTCCGCATTGAATTAATTACTTAACACATTTAATTTGCTTATTCATGCGTATTTTAACGCGTTTACGACTCGTTTCACATAAATCAATGTCACATTCACGTTTTTCTCTTCGTTTTTTCGCTTTGCAAACACAATAATTACATCATAACAAGTAAGTAAACTAAATAATAATATACTTCAACTTACCTAACATCTTGATGACACGATTCTGCGCTTGCATCTTTTTCGACGCACGGGAAACCACAACCTCACCACCGCCAATCGCCATTGCACTACAGGTTGCATTCGATGCAAGTGACGCCCTCTGTTGTTTGCTATTCCTCAGCATTTTCGACTTATTCAATTTAATAGCGATTAAAATATACAACACTGTTATAAGTGTCATCGGACCAACAAAAATCATAAACGTCGAAATCTCAAACGCATGTTGAAAGAAATCATTCGCCACCACTGTGCAGCGACTCAACTCGACGCCATTTTTTCTTTCATATTCCACACCGAATTGAATCGCCTGCGGTGCAGCCAGACACAATGCAATCACCCAGATCGCCAGGATATATTTTATAGCACGCGATAGATTACTCATCGTATGCGATAGAAAGGGATGACATATAGCTAAATATCGCTCAACGGTGAAAGCAGTGATGGTTAACACGGTAGCGTTCGCTGAAGTCTCAGCGGCGAATCCCTGCAACACGCAGAACGCCTCACCGAAAACATACGTTGCAGGCGACCAGATGCGGTACATCTCGGGTGGTAATCCTGATATTAACAGAAGCAGATCAGAGATGGCGATACTGAAGAGATAGTAGTTGGTGACGGTGTGTAGGGACTTGTTGCGTGCGATGACTATGCAAGTTGACACATTTCCCACCAAACCAAAGATGAATATAATGCCGTAGACTACTGTGATTGGTATTACCCATTCTATTGGATAGAGCACGTCTTCGTCTTCATTGCGAGGGGTCGAGTTGATGTTTAGCGGAGGGTGAGTGTGAGTCATGCGGAAAGTTTCGTTGTGCTCAAACTCAATAATTGAGGTTAGGTTACTGTCTATTGTGAGTAGTGATTCGTTGAGTATCATTTTAAAAACACGTAAGTTTTAGTTTTTAATTGTTTTTTGTTTGTTTTTTAGATAAAATCCTTGAAAATAACATTTATTATGTTTATTTTAATTATTTTTATAGAAAAAATACGTTTTTTAATAACATTTTGAGGTTATTTCACTGTTTTTTCATGTTTTGACATTTTACACATACACACTGTATATAATTATAATGGTTTTGATCACGCCGCTTGTGTTTGTGAAGATTTGCGTGCGTTAATCACTCTAATCACTCGCGATAAAATTTTATTCGCGTGTGTCGTGCGATTGTTTTCGATTTTCGCGACGCACACGAGCTGCTTCCTTGCGGCGCGATGCGTGGAAAGCGACTGACAGGTAGTTTTCCTCCATCGCCGCTCGGAGGCTACGGTTTTTGCGGCTTGTAAGACGAATGCGCGTATAATATAATGGATTTTTAGCGAGTTTTATTTTTTTGAATTCGCGTGTGCTTTTTGTGCGTCGAGATTGTGGGAGAGTTGCGTTGCAGCGGTTTGGAGCGCCGGGAGCGGCGAGTTGCGGGAGCGGCGAGTGATGCGACGCTACTGAGTGTGGAAGCCTGCTGGGATGTTGCTCTAGCCGCCAAAAAGAGGCTGGAGCATCTCGCGTGATCAGCTCCGCTCAAAATATTAAAAAATTGAGTTTTTAAGTTTAAAAAATTTATTTTTACATTTTTTTGTTTAAAATTTGAAAAAATTAAATTTAAACTTTTTAAAATTGTTAATAATTAATTTTTTATTCTATAAATTAATTTATTTCATAAAATTTTGTGAAATTTAAAGAGTTTTAAACTAATTTAAAGTTTTTATTCATTTTAATTTCAAAATTTCATTAAAAATGCTTAAAAACTTTTATTTTAAAGGTTTTTTGGTAAAAATTGTAATATTATTAATAAAATATGCTAGTGATATTATTAAACTGATATAATTAAGGCTTAAAAGTGTAATAAATAGAATATTAATGAAATTATTCAAGAATATTGTATGTTGGGTTGCCTATCGTTGATTAACACAATTTATACTAAAACTTCTTAAAAAATCGTTACAAATCATTTTTTCTTTAATAAATTTGATCAAATTTACAAATTTAAAAACAATTTAAAGTTTTTTTTCACTGAATTTTAATTTTTTAATCAAAATTCCTTGAAAACTTTCATATTAAACATAAATTTTGCAAATATTGTAATATTATCAATAATATATGCACAGCGAATTATAAAACTGATATAATAATCGCATAAAAGTAAAATAAATACAATATTACAGATATTATATAAACCTATTGTACGTTTGGTTGCCTACTGATAAAATTAAGCATATTAACACATAATAACTACCGGCGTGTGATAAAACGTGATAAAAACAATAATAAACACTGAAATAATGATTCCATTTAACTCCGAAGCGATCAATAATGTGTCAGTAAATACATAATCGTAAAACGCCCATCAAGCGAATGATAAATGTACTATAAACATTGATTTGCGCTTTGCGCGCTTTGTGCGCTGTGCGCTGAAATAAAACACCGCGCTGATAGCAGTAAATATAAAATAGCGTTTTTATCATCGAGATATTTCTATATAATAAATTTGAATTGATGATATAATTAGTTTCCACCGACTGGAAAATTGAATGCGCTTTTGCCACATCATTAATTAATTAATTACGAGCAATTAACTCGCGAGTATCCTGCGTGCGATGACAAACGCATGGTAATAACGTTCATAAAACGCGATTGATTTATGTGACCCGTAAATGAACTATTAATTCATGACCACTGGCATCAACAAGATTGTTAATTGCCTACCTGTTGGTTTAAAATGGCTGCCAGTGCGTGTTTACTATAGTAATACTAGCTTTAACCCGCGGCTTCGCTTGCGAATATCTAAAATAATGAAGTTGCTTCCGTACGCGTCTGCAGTCACAGATGAAGTAACAATGAAGTAGAATGGCGGGAAGTTTAAAATGGCTGAAAGTATAGTCTATGGAAGTATAGTGTACAGTCTCCATAGTGTAGTCAATTGGATTTGATGTTGACGTAGCTGTCGGTAATACAGTGTGATAATACAGTGTGATGGTACTATAGTACTTAGGTTTGAGCTTCATTGCTGGAATGCTAGATGGCGTTAAAGTAGTCAAATAACCAGATGCAGAGGTATTATTGGCCAAACAATTTCTTTATTTTATTTAAAAAATAATTTTTTTTATTAAATAAATAGTAGCCTATAACCATTCGGGGACCACTAAGAATATGTGTACAAATTTTCATGATGATCGGTTAAGTAGTTTTTGCGTGAAAGTGTAACAAACATCAGGACATTCGCATTTATAATATTAGTAGGGAAGTAGAGATTCGTAATTTGTGTTTTGGGACGAATTTCGTTAACTTTCGTTTATTTTTGTTTATTTTCGTGTCCTTGATACAGTAATATCTGAATCAGAAACAATCTGTCAAAACGCTTTAAATGCTGTCAAACTGTTTTTGACGGTTGAGTTGATGCGCGCGCATCGCTAACCAACATAACCTCACAAAATTCAAATCATTTTCCTTTCTAAATTAATTTCTGTGAGTATTTTCATTGTTTTAATTGTTTTTCTGTACTTCTGCATGAAAATTAACCTAAAAATTCAAAGTTTTTAATGATTTTGTTTCTTGTCATGAAATTAAAGGCTGTAACTAAGCAAACTCGACTTATGTACATAGATTAATAATAAAAACCGTATGAATAAAGTGTGTACAGCACGTGTGGCGCATTTTACGATGAAATAAATAAATAGCCAAGCATTTAACGAGACATTAAAAACGCCGCCAATTAAGCGCATGTAAACGCGTTCAATTACGATGCATTCGCCCTTGCGCATTAAATAATTCGAGCCATTAAGCGCGTAACCACTAATTACGCAACAAAACAATCGATTGTTGCATTTGCTTCAATTTTAATAACAATAAAACCAAACTCAAATCAATTACAACTCTCTATCATTATAATATTAAAATGAATCGCAAAATTAGTTGGTAAGCGCATAACTCAACAACGCCTGGATCAATTTGGCCAATTCTTTTTTTAAAATGTTCGTTAAAGTCCAAGGATGGTTTTTACGGCGAGAAAATTTTGAATAATTGCCGGGAAAACTCTAAAGACAGCCCTTTTCTAAAGGATAAAAGTTGACATTGAGATTCAATCATAGTTATAGTTAAATAGTTGAATCCGAGATGGCGCGCTGAAGTGCATTATTAGCAATTCTTTATATAATTAATTTCTTTAAAATAAAATAGCGAATCTTATTGATAGAATTGACACATACTATATCTAGAACAAGAGAGTAAAACCGAATTATATTTTTATTTAACACTTCCGAGACGAAGTCGCGGACAAAACAATGTTTTTTATTTTCATCCATTGATTAACCTAGTTATTTTTTGTGTTTCTCTATGACGTTGAGCGTGTTTATGACGTGAGACGATTGATTGTGTCATCGCCACAGCCGGAATCACAAGGAAAAACTCCGCGGCGGCGTGGAAACGGAAAAAGTTGGCGCGTGCAAAGCTTAAAAAGTTGAATGGCAAATCGTGCTGGGTTGCACTCGACTGCACGTGGCTGAAAAATAAATACGCCTTGAAATATCGTAAGAAATCTGAGAGAAACCTAAGAAAAGTTTCTGTTTCCAAGCGTTTCAGTTTTAAACTTTAGTTAAATTCACTTAAGAGTAAAAAGTTACATTGAATCTTCTGACATAATTTTAATTTTAATTATTACTACTTATTATTAAGTGTAATATAGTTTAAAAGTAAGAAAATAACATTTTATATCAAGTTGTGTATTTTTGGTGAATGTTTGGTTGCCTATGTTAAACATCCAAAGGAAGAAAAAGATCTGAAATGTTACAAAATCAATTTTTATTCCTTTGGATAAAATGAACATAAAAAACATAAAATTTGATGTAATTACCAATTATTATGGTTATTAGATGTGTTTTTAATTTTTAATTAATTTTTACACGTTTCGTGCAGTTAATGGCGATTTTTTGTGAACTTTGAATGAAATTCGATGTTTATCACTGAGAATTATGAGTTTCCTTTGTGCAGCAAGGCGCAAAACGTCGTAAAACAAAGCTTACTGTCGTTTAACTTAATTTAACATCGTTATAAACGCCTTAAACTGTTCCTCGAAGCGTTGAAGTCTTACAACTTTGTGTAACTGCACACAGAATGAATAAATTTGCAAGATAAAATATTTCACTAGTAAAATATTACATTTTACACGTAAAAAATAAAAGGATTAAATTCGTGTGTGAGGTTTTTTGTGCAGATTAAGAAATAAATCGATTTGTGTGGGTTTGTTGAATATAACCACGGAAAACAGAAAAATATGCTGAAAAAATCGAGGATTTGAGGATTTAGTTGTCTCCCACACTGACGCAATGCTATTTTGGGATTGTTGCAGGTGTAAAAAACCGGTTAAAATGAAATTCCAAAACAAAATAAATAATTTCATCGTTTTGTGTGTAATCCTCGCAAATACTCTTACTTTCTGTTATTCTGTTGTTCTGTTGACGAGCAGTGCATTAAAATTGAGATTAAAAATATATAAATTTAATAATAAGTGAAAATAAAGCACGCGTGAAATATTTCTTGAGATATTTATTTATTCTTTGTGCGGAAAACCAGGATAATGTAATAAGTTATTACGGGGATTTCGTGGTGAAATTGGGAAGAAAGGATACTGGTGCTCAAACAATTCGTGTGTGGTTATAGGGAAAGCCCGAGCTGAAAAAGTAAAGTGAGAACAAAAAAATAAGAAAAAAAATTCAGAGAATGGTTTGGAGTGGATATGCGAGTGGGTGAATGAAAAATAACGCGTGGATGAAGAAATAAGAAGAAAAGTGGAAATGAATAGATACGAATAGGGATAGATAGGGGAATATCGTAGCAGGTGGGTTGGCAATAGATCAAACATCGTGAGTTATTATAAAATTAAAATAGGTTATTATTAATAAGGAGTAAAACTAGCGAGAATAATAAGAATATTTTACGTAATAATAATTTTTCAAGATGCGTTCGATATTGCAACGTTGCTGCATTTTAATAAGATAAATTTAATAAACTTATTAAGTTTATTATCTTCTCAATAAAAAAATCAGTTGATAAAATTAAAAATAAAGTTATTTACAGGTTTAAAAAGCTTTAATGGTATTAATTTTTGTTTATTTTTGTTAATTATGTGTCAATTTATTAATAAAATTAGCAATTTTATTTAAAAAAAGTAAGAATTCCTAATAATGCACTTTAGCGCCATCTGCAATTAAATTATTTAACTATAACGATGATTGAATCTCTATATTAACTTTTATCCCTCATTTAACACCCTTTAAATTAAAATTTTCAATATTTTAATAATTATTCATCTATTCGAAACCAAGAGGAACCTAGAAAATCATAGATCATCAAAATCTGTTCAGCCGTTCTTGAGTTATATATGTTGTAACTAACTCCACTATGTTTTTTTTACATATATTTGCCACTTAACCTGTTTTTTTCTAGTTTTTACCATGGAATTCTGTTTATGACTATTATTTGCATTAAAATTAACGTAAATATCTTGAAATTTCATTAATTTTAATAAATATCATTAAATTATATTTTAATATTCAACAGAAATAACTAATATTTTAAGATTAAATTTCGGAAAAGAAATTCAAGTAGAATTATTAGCTGAAACTTGAATAAATTTAGTAAGAAATAAATTTGTACACTAATAATTTCTGAATATTCAAAATATTAATATACTTACATAGTATACATAGTATACATATTACATAGTATAAATACATTTAAATACTTTCCTTAGCAGAATATCTTAACTATGAATGACTTTTTTGTTTTGTGAATGGTGGGCGTGATGTGTTGCGTTTGCGCTTTTCACCGTATCACACCCGCCGCTTGCCGCTACCGCCGCCGCCGCCTTGTGAAACTTCCATCCGGCCGCGTCGCTTCGCCGCCTCTCTAATTCTGCCTTCGCTGCCGCCACCGCCGCTTCCACTCTCATTCAGCTTGCGGCTGTGCCACCGAACGACTCTCCACGCTATCCACTCGTATCAGAAACGCGCGTGCAGCGATTCTCATCGAAATCTAAAACTTAAAAAAAAAACTTCAATAAAATTAAATTAAATTAAAACTTTATTCAATTAAATTTAAAATTAATTCAACTTACTTAATTTAATTAATTATAACTTACCTTACTTAATATAATAATAATAATTAACTAAATGTCATTACTGTTAATCAAATCAGTGCTTCAATATAAAACCCGGAAATTGATCAAAATGGACACTGTAAGTACCTTAACATCATAATGACATCAACAAATATTTTCTATTAGTTTATAATTTGTTTCGCAAAGAATCTGTAAAAGTCAAGTTGAAGTTTGTTTGAGCGCGTAATAGCTCACGACGGAAACAGGAGCGCCCGGAAGTCGAAGTTATCGCAAGCGAAAGTCCAGCAAAACGGAACCCAACTCGCTCCACTCGTGAACTTGAGCCCAGCCATTTAATATCCCCAACTCTCCTCAATCAGATAATCTTAACTTTTAACTTATTTCTATATTAAATTATTAGCTTTAACCCGCGGATTCGCTCGCGAATATCTAAAATAATGAAGTTGCTTCCGTACGCGTCTGTAGTCACAGAAGAAGTAACAATGAAGTAGAATGGCGGGAAGTTTAAAATGGCTGAAAGTATAGTCTATGGAAGTATAGTGTACAGTCTCCATAGTGTAGTCAATTGGATTTGATGTTGACGTAGCTGTCGGTAATACAGTGTGATAATACAGTGTGATGGTACTATAGTACTTAGGTTTGAGCTTCATTGCTGGAATGCTAGATGGCGTTAAAGTAGACAAATAGCCAGATGCAGAGGTATTATTGGCTAAACAATTTCTTTATTTTATTTAAAAAATAATTTTTTTTATTAAATAAAAAGTAGCCTATAACCATTCGGGGACCACTAAGAATATGTGTACAAATTTTCATGATGATCGGTTAAGTAGTTTTTGCGTGAAAGTGTAACAAACATCAGGACTTTCGCATTTATAATATTAGTAGGGATTATCCATAGGCAGCCATTTTGTGTGTCGATCGAATCGAATGTATTTCGCAAGTATTTACTCCTGACATGTTGGCGAAATGGAAAGCGCTCGTTAAACCGCCACTCACCGCGTGGCGCAAACGATACAAACACTTGAGCGCATAATTACATTTTGAAGAGTACGGGTAAGCGACCGAAGAGCACGCACGTGTCGATGGTAATTGTTTGCATTGTTCGCATCGGCGCACGACTATCAAATGTATCAGAAGGTATCAAAAGGTATTGGTATACGTATCACATTACAATAGGTGTATTGAAGGTATTCTATTTCTTACGTAAATTACTTTCTTTTCGATGTTTCACGCTGTGGAATACAGGAAAATGTTTTCTTTGTGTTTATAAACGGTCAGGTTATATGTATTCAAACAGAGTTGGATTGACGTGGATGGAAAGCTGCCTATGCATAAATATAGTTTGTGTATCATCACTAGAGGGCGCTTGTGGGCATTTGAACAACCATTAATTTAATTTTGTTTTGTTTTTCTTGAAATATTGTTAATATTTTTTATTGATATTAAGTTTAGAGTGAATAAACTTATTATTTTTCAATTGTTGAAAGTGTTTTAAAGTTTATAAAATAATTAACTTGTTTTTACAAGTAAAATCTATAAAATTTATCAAAAAGTATCAAAATACGAATTGCATTATAATGCAATAGATGTATTAAAAATGTTCCATTTATCGTGGAAATCATTATATATCTCTTTTTGGACACTCAGAGAACTATTTTCTTTGTTTTTTTTTATAAATTGTAAAAATATAAATTCAAATATTGACTTTTATTGACATGTAAGAAAAGTTGCCTACCTATTTTTATACGTATACGTAGTTAACCGTGTTAGTTCTGTTACCGCCACTAGACGGCGCATGTGTTTTTGACAGTGTAGATGTAGCATGACGCAGCCAACTTGAGCAACGCCACAGTTTCTTTCGTTTTCGTTGATATTGTGCACATTTTTACCTTCACATCAAATTCACAGTGAGTACATTTATTATTTTACAATACCTGACCTGACCTGACCTTATTTTTAACTTTATAAGGTAGTTAACATGTCTTGACTAACGAGTATTTAAAAAGTGAAATGCATAATTAACCTTAACGCAAAGCACTTGCCGGATTTACGAGTACCAAGCTAATTACTCGTCGAAATTGTCTCGTAACGAAATATTAAGCACGAATAAAAGTCGTTGACATACTTGACAAGCTTCTTTATATTAAATTTCGCTTGCCGCCCCTCATTCGCTTTCTTTGATTTCCACTCAATTTACATGCTGTAACACAATAATTCTACATTATTAATTAATAATTTCTTCAACAAAATAAAAAAAGTTAGGAAATATAAAAGATTTATTAATATTCAACACAAAAACTTTTGTAATAAACAAAAATCAACTTGACTTGAATTACAAAACAGATTAATATTTAATTAATTAATAAGGTCGAAATTATAATTATAATTAGCAAAGTACCGAAAAGTAGGGCAGCAAGTAGGAGTAAGTAATTCACAAAGCTTAAAATTTAAATTAAATGATATTAAATTATTGCTCAACACAAGTATACCACCCACAATAATAAAATAAAATGTATTGTGTGTTGCCTACGCATTTTACATTTACAACCATTTTATCGAATTTAACCTATGAAACGCAGATCGTATTCAATTTAATATCAAATATATAATATTATTCAACTATTAATCGATGGATTACTCTATGAATATTAATATTCATCAAAATCAAAATAATATTTACTTTGGTGTAAATATTTGTTCAATCTAGAAACTTCGCAGGTTCGAAACGCAGGTTTTCAATCGTATGTCAACGTTCGAGTGGCTTTTTATGCTTTGTTTGTGTTCGGTTTATTTTCCGCTTGTTTTGTTATTTTCACGTCGGGAAAAAGGGTGAAACCATCAAACTAACCAAACTTGTGTCATTCACATTCGCGTTCATTCCCAATCAAACGAGAAGTGGAAATAAATCACCATCAAAACTTTATAGATAAAAATAAATATTTTTGCTTATTTGCCGAGGCATTAAAGTTGCATTTTTATTTATTAAATCATTTTCAAAGTCAAATAATCAAGTAATAATAAAAAGAACAAGTTTTTTCTTTTTGAAAATAAAATTTCGTTGTTGATTACTTTTTCTTTTTCTTTACTGCCTAGGCAAATGAATAATTCCCTTTGATAGTATCTATGTAAACAGACATTTACTCATCATGACCTGCAGCTTTATTACGTATTTATTACGCTCGCCTCGAAACTTTCGTTGTAAGTACATTTTCTTATTCAGCGTTCTTGGAGGAATTTCATAGATTGCAGTATTGTATGTCAGCAAACATTTTATTCCGGCGATTTTTTCTTTCTCGTGTCGCAATAAATCTGGATATATATTTGCATTTTGCAACAACATACGCAGCAAAGTCAAGTTCTGCAAGGCACAAATGCAAATAGCAAATATATTGCATTTTTCGATTGCATGGATTTTACATGGTAGATTTTTTTATTATGTGGGTTAAAATATGTGAAGTTTGCAACGATTTACCTCTATATTCATGGTGTTTGTGAAAAGTTGCTTTGATCCTGCGTCAGTATGGAAAAATGCAGTTGAATGCATCAAGTACACAGCGGAGTATTAAAGTTTTGTGTTTAACATCAGTTGAAACGTTGTGTTTTATCTGTAAACAAAGAAATTTTGGATTTTTGTTGTTTTAAGTCAAGTTAGGTTAGGTCAGGATATATACTGGTTGCATATATGTCTATTTTAATACGAATATGTCTATATCACTAGCGCCACCTATAGAGATCAACGCGTATTAAAGTTTTGTGTTTAAACATCAGTTAAAACGTTGGTTTTATCTGTAAACAAAGAAATTTTAGATTTTATGCTATTTTAAGTAAAGTTAGGTTAATATAGGATATACTGGTTGCATATACGTCTATCTCAATACGTCTTTGTCTATACTACTAGCGCCACCTATAGAGATCAACGCGTATTAAAGTTTTGTGTTTAAACATCAGTTAAAACGTTGTTTCTTTATCTGTAAACAAAGAAATTGTAAATTTTAAGGTATTTTGAGTAAAGTTAGGTTAAGATAGGATATACTGGTTGCATATATGTCCAAATATCTTAATATGAGTATGTTTATACCACTAGCGCCACCTATCGAGAACAACGCATATTAAAGTTTTGTGTTACTGGTTGCCTATATGTCTAAATATCAACACTAGCCCTATATGCAGCTACGCAAACTAAAGAATACTCGTACTCATAGCGCATGCGCAGTTTAAAATGACTTTCTAATTTCTGATTTCAATCCGATTGCACTTGACTTGTTGACTTGATGACCTCGCGACCTGATAATGATCCATCACCTGCACCAACACCATTCCGGTGACAAATCGCCGCGATTTGCCGTCGCCGCAGTGCGCTTCCATTAAATTAATCTAGAATTAATGTTTAAACGGCCAACTCATTACCACCGAATAAACACGCACACCGGCACCCATTCCTAACACCCATTCCTCTGTGCTCTCCAGGGATGATAGCAAAGGAGAGCCGATAGGCTGTTCCTGACCACTGCGCAAGCAGACATCAAGAACAATGTTACAACCTATGCAATGGCACGTACTTTCCATTCCCTGTTTGTGCTTTGCTTTTGGGGGTTTGGGTGAGGAATGATAAAGGGGTTGAGGGGGAGAAATTCGGAGGCGCTCGCCGTGTAATGGGATAAAGGTGTAACCGAGCTACAATAATTCGTCGGGCAGCGGCAGAGGTTGCCGAGAATTGGGCAAATACCAAATACGCACTGGAAATACACTGAAACGAATGCTTAAGGGATGAAATATGTTCATAAACAGTTATTTATGAAGGTAAAACAATTTTTATTCGCAAATTACTCGGAAATTAAATAATTTATTAATATTAATATTTAAATTCAATTTGAACGAATTACTTTTAGGTTAGATTAGGTTATGTTACATTTTGTACATAACCACATTAAGGTAAAATATTTATCTTCTCAAATTACAACCAAAATTAAATTATTTATTAATATTAATTTTTTTTGCCCGAGACTTCGTCCCGGTAGTGTTTAATAAAAATGTAATTCGTTTTTACTCTCTTGTTCTAGACATAGTATGTGTCAATTCTATCAATAAGATTCGCAATTTTATTTTAAACAAATTAAT